GCTTGAATCCACCACTGCCTCTGACTCTGAGTCTCAAATTCGACAGACAAATTTAAAAGATGAGTTACGGTAGGTGGCCGGTCGGTCTTATAGATTAAGTGTATTGTAGGCCTACATCTGAATCAGAATACAGTATATTTTTATAGACATCAATATTTTAACAATTTAACGAAGCTGGTCTATAAATAACGTGCAATTAGAACATTTTCACACTGTCTTCTTAACAGCTGACCAATCAGCGAGGAAGTTCAGTTCAATTTGACAATCATCTCCAACAAATAGGTATGGTACAATTCATTCTATTATTTTAAAGTAGAAAAGAGATTACAAAATATCTTTAAAAGCGTATTAAAGAAAAGCCCGAGCCTTCGTGGGCGATGAACAATACATTCGATGTATTCGGGTAGAAGCCTCGAAGATCAGCACGCCTTTCAATGTAGATTTTATAAATTCCATGAAACGTTCGGTGACGTCATACTCACTTGAACCCATAATAGAAAAAATGTTTACACGCCAATACATTCACGTTGCATAAGGTCAAACCTTTATAGTAGAGCGGCTAAGGTTGAATTTCAGGCAGAATCGTGCACTTCTGGAAGAAAGCATGAAACTTCCCACAGTGATACTAAGGAGTTTTAGATATGCGACGACGAGTAATCTAGGACGATATGCTAATTATCTATGACGTATTACAATGTTGGCCACCCAGATGATAAGCTCTTGTTTTAGTTTTGCGACGACGATGCAAATACATACGTCACCACCAGACATGCTTGAGTGAATTGAAAATAAACACTGTACTAATATTAAATAGGCATATAGGCCCCCTAGCCCTAGGCCTGCCCTTACTACAATTAATGAATATTATACTATAGGCCTAGGGTCTAGGCTTTTGTGGGGTTAGGTTTATACTGTGTAGGCCTAGGCCTACGTTAATGATCAAAAAAGTACTGTACAAGCATATCCTTCAATTGTAAAAACAATATTAATCATACTTATATTCTTTCAAATTCTATGTCAAACACATCCATGAATCCTTCAATGTAAAAATAAATCCAAAGCTTCCTTTTGTAAAAAAAACTGTAAAGTTTTGTAGTACTGTAGCATACATGCTGTACCAATCATGTCTAGCTGCACTGAATGAACTTGAAACTGTTGCATACGCTGTGTATCACATTTCGCGCTTTTTAACAAATTATAACATTGTTACAATTTAT